CGAGGGAGGCTTGGATAGGTGAGCTTAATGGATATATGGCGCAGATTCCTTACCAGCTAACTAAGTCACGTAAGTCTGGACGAGACGAAGGGGAGGGGGATGGGTGGAAACCAAAAGGATGTGTGCTGTTGGTTTGTGCCGCAGATACCTGGGATTGGGAAAGGGCCGAAAAGCTGCTTACCTCCTAAGTACTTTTGTAGTGGGGTGGGTAGGAGAACAGATTCTGATTTATGGGCAGGATCTGGAAACAAGATAGAGAAGGGAACGAGGATACAAGTCAGGAGCTCGAGGTAAGAAGTAAAGAGAAGAGGATAACTCAGCACTGCAAAGAAAAGTAAATTAAAGCAAAATGAATTTACGAATAAAAGCAAAAAGGAAACAAAGTAAAGAATAATTTTCCTATGTGAACGAAAATTGCTTGTAAAAACTCTTTTCTCAATTGGGGGATTCTTCATTCATAAGCTCTTGCTTGGGTTCAGACCGAGTAAGGGGTGCTGTGAGCACTCTCAGCTTTAACTAAGCATCAGCTTCATAATCAGAGAAGCCTTCTACGGAAGACGAGTTTTTGTAATGCAATTTCCACTGGAGCGAGCTCAGTTTTTATTTGCTTTTGCTTTTTTTAGCTTTTATTCATAGGTTTCTGTTTTTTGTTTTAGTTTTCCATTTCAGGTTTGTTTCAACTTAGTTTTCTTAGTGCCGTTTTGTCTCTTTCTATTTATAGCTGTTTCCAGTTCTTGCTTCGAGCTCCCGACTTGTTTCCTCGCTCCTCTTCTTTAACCTCTTTCCAAATCCTGCCTGCAAAGCAACATCTAAACTCCTCTCCATTCCCATTATAAGAGTGTTCTTGAAGCAAGCAATATTTTAGCCCTTTGCGGGTATCCGCTGTAACAAATAGCAAAAAATATTTCAGCTCTTTCCCACTCCATCTCCCATTCAGATGTGCGTGAACTAGCCAACTGATAAAGGATATACGCTATGTAGTCATTAAATTCATCTATCCCAGTTCCCCTGTCTCAGACGAAACCCGCAACACATCACCCCTTCCCTCTCCCCACATGCAGCATTCAAACTCCCGCCACTCGCTCCATGGGGCAACCGTACCCATCGCTGCCGGGAAGAAATTTTCGCAAATCGTGTATGGCGCCGGCCGAGCCGAGTTTTAGTAATTGCTGTTGCATTGCACTGACGTCTCGGAGGTATGTATTGAAACCAAATTCTTCTTCTACTACACTTGTTCGGCTTTTAACTAGCAGTTAATCGCAAGTTACGCGTTTTCCCGGAAATACAACGGGGGTTGCCTCCGTGCCATTCTTTTTACTTTTCTTTTTCTTACACATTTTTATGCTTCCCTTTTCCCCATATATTTTTCTTTTTTCTTACTATTACTTCGATTTCTTCTGACTTACATTTTTTTATCTTAATTAATTTATATACCTTACTAAATTACTGTGTTACCACAATCATCGTACTGACGCGAGGTCCAGTTGTGGTAACGGTAAGAAATGTATACGACTTAATGGACCGAAACATCCTATAACAAATATTTCTTTAGGCCCCTTAGCTTTTTTAATATCCTTTTCCTCCTTTTCATTGTTTCCTTCTTCTACTGATATTTTCTTTTTAACCTTTAACAGAGGTTCAGTCTTTTTTTTCTTTTTTTTTTTTGTGAATTTACAGATGATTGATTGTCACTGTCATTTGGCTGACGAACAATTCACCGAGGATATTGCCGAGGTGGTGGAACGAGCCCAACGTAACGGTGTCAGGTCGGCCATTGTATGTACCGAGTATCGGGATCAATTCGACGCGGTCCTGGCGCTTTCCACGCAATTCCCGTCGTTCTGTTTTGCTGCCTTTGGTATACACCCGGTACAGGTGAGCAAAAATTGAAAAAAAAATTAAAAAATTATTAAAATCCATCAAAAAATTAAAAAATTAAAATTGTAAGAGAGCAGTTTTTTTTGGTAGAGCAACATCGTCGTCATTGCTAGTGATCATCATCGTGGCGCAGTGTTGTTGTTCGGCAAGGCCGATTCTTCGTTGATTTGATCGCCTGTTATTTTGTACTAGCACCACCATGTATTATATCTATCTCTGTTTATATTGCCTGAGATTTTTTGTTAAAAAAAAATACTTTTTTGGTGATTTAGGTCCTAACAATGTTGGTCCATATTTTAAAGCTACCGTAACATCCCGATCGAGCTGTTTTTTTTTTTTTTTTGTTTTTTGACGTATTAATTAGATTGATCTAAAAACTGGTTTAATTTGGCGTGTATTTTCAAAATTTTGTGTATTTTATTTTATTTTATTTTTTGCAGCGCAATAATATTTCGGCTCGACGTGAAGATGCGACTTCAGTCCCCGAGTATATCGAGGAACACAAGGATCGAATTGTTGCATTGGGAGAAGTATATTATTATTTTTTTTAGATTTTCTGTCAGTTGTTTTATTGAAAAACCAAAAAAAAAAATTAAAAAATCATTGAAATTTATTAAAAAATTAAAATTGTTAAAGATGTTTTATTAAGAAAAATTAAAAAAATTCAAATTAACGATAAGCGATAGTTCTGTTTCAAAAAACGAAAACACAAGTTTTGATTCGGACTGGCTGTTTTCGACGGAATTTTTGAAATTATTTTTCCGTTTTAGAAAAAAGATCAAAGTTTTCCCGAATTAACTTGTTGAATTTTTTATTTATTTGTAATTCTCGTGGTACAAGTGCTTCCTGTACATTTCGTTTGCGCACTTCAGTTGTGAATTGATGCTTTAGCAGAGAGTTCAAACTGTCATCAGCAATAAATTTTAGAGGAGAAATATCAGCAGCATTGCTAAG